ATAAAAAAAAATCTCAAATCCAGAGAAGTAACTTGTCCAAAGTCACACAACTACTACATAGTACAGCAGAAACTCAACCTGGATCCTTTGATTATAAATTATGCACTATTTCAATATGTTAACTTTTCTACTTAAATAAAGCTGGTATAGCATAAGGGCAATGACAACAGCCACAGTCTCCCTCAAACACAACTCCCAACCATCCTTACAGTTCTTACAACTGAACACATAGGTGCTCTCAAAGAGATTATTTTAGATCAGGGTTTTCAAATTCAGCACTATTGACATTTTGAGCAGGATAACTCTTTGTTGTGGGGGGTAGTCCTATAACTTGTGGGATAACTACCCATTAGATGTAAGTAGTATTCCCCCAATTATGTCAACCAAAATTGTCTCTAGACATTGTCAAATGTCCCTAAACTGCTTCCACATGAGAACCACTATGTTAGATATTCTAGGCCTTTGTTGTCCTGTGAAATTTGCTTTCATGTCAGAGATCAGCTTAGTGGCACAACTAGCATGTTCATGTTACAGATGAAAGAAAAAAGCTCTACAATGTAAACATCACAATGAAAACAATCTAGAGCTTTGAAACAAGACTATTTACAAAAAATCTACTGCATTAACTATCAATCTCTTTAAAGTTCATCTTTTGGTATATTCTGGCTTTTTAAAATATTGGCCAGGCACAGTGGCTTACTCCTATAATCCTAGCACTCTGGGAGGCTGAGGCAGGAGGATCGCTCAAGGTCAGGAGTTAGAAAGCAGCCTGAGCAAGAGTGAGACCCTGTCTCTACTAAAAATAGAAATAAATCAATTGGCCAACTACAAATATATAGGAAAAAAAATTAGCTGGGCATGACGGTGCATGCCTGTAGTCCCAGCTACTTGGGAGGCTGAGGCAGGAGGATTGCTTGAGCCCAGGAGTTTGAGGTTGCTGTGAGCTAGGCTGATGACACAGCACTCTAGACTAGGCAACAGAGTGAGACTTTGTGTCAAAAAATAAATAAACAAATATAACACAATACAATACTATGTACTGGGCCCTCATCCTCAAATATGATACTCAACTGTTTTAGAGAATGATGAAGTCAGGAAGTTTTGGTCTAGCATGAATGAAGAGAAAAATATGAATCACAGATGAAAGCAATATACACATAATGCAATTTAAAAAATTTAGTAATCACACTGAAAACATAAAAACAGGTGAAATTAATTTTAGTAACTATTTTATCTAACCCAAGATGTCTAAAGTATCATTTCAACATGTAAGAAATGTAAGAAATTATCAATGAGATATTTTTACATTCTTTTTTCATACTAAGTCTTTTTTTTTCCTTGACCGCACCCTCCTGGGTGGGGCTGCAAGCTAAATGGGCAGAGCAGCTGCCCCCTCCCTGTCCTATCTTTCACCCAGCCAGGAGGGGCTGTCTCCACCCTTCTCAGGCCTAGACAGGGGTCAGTGTGGCCTGCTTTAGCTATCTTGCCAAGGAACAAGTCTTAGCCAGGCAGGCATCACACCTTCGCAGTGGGAGGGGCTCATGGCTTCCTGCAGCAAATCTGGGGAGCTCTTGAGATGCTCACATATGAGGAACTGTCATGCACAGCATCTGGTTGTGCTGGTTCTGCCCTGGGCACTCCAGGAACCCTGAGAGCACAGTCCTCATCAAAACGTCCCCAGATTTGGGCTTATTTCTGAAAACCTCGACCTCCCCAGGGTTCCCATGCCTGTGATGTTCAGTCTTTCTGGAACTTATGAATCCCTCCCTACTGCCAGAGCACCCTTCACCCCATGCAAGACAGGGTCTGCCCTGCTTTCCTCACTGTGATGCTGCACTACAGAAGCAAGGTACCAGGGCCTCCCTGCAGTCTTTGTCCCCCTTGTGCTGGTGCTGGTTTCCCTTTGTCCCCATCCACTAGGCCCTTGTCCTGGTCACTCACCCAGGGCTCCTGTCCTGATTCTAATTTCACTCCCAGGAGCTAAACAAAATAGCCAAGGTTGGCTTACGCCTTGGGTCCCTGAGCTGCTGCTGTCTCATTCCACAGCTATCATGATTGGGTCAGGTGGGTCCAGGGCTCTGTCAACCCCCTACAGAAGCTGCTTTAAAGTGATGGCCAAGAACAGCCACCCACCCTGGCCCTTCCTGACCTCCAAGGCACCCACACGCCCTGGCTCTGGGCTGGAACACAGCCCCATATCCACTTAGGACATGGAGTAGAAGGGGAGGGGACATTTGGGGGACTCCATTTGTAGCTCACAGAAAACAGCATTGGAGTCACACTGCGTTGGCAAAGGGCACTGCCTTGAAGCATGAGCTTTGTCCACATCTCTGCTGCAGGGTGGCAAATGAGCCCCGTGTTCATTATTTACACACAGCCGTAAATTGCTGGAAATTGTAATTACAGTGTGATTGCTGGGTAGGCGCCACATGCAGCCTTTCCATCTAAGGGAGTAAGGCTCTCCACACTTACAGAACATCTCAATTTGGACTAGCCACATTTCGAGTGCTCAATAGCCACATGTGGCTAGTGGTTACCATATTGGACAGCACAGATCTAGTCTGTAAGGAAAAGGTACAAAGGGCAAAGGAGAAAAAAACTAGAGTAAAAAGAAAAAAACAGTCCTATTCAACAGTCTTCTATTTCTTTGTCTACTGGTAGCAACATCCAATGGTTATATGTCTGCAGACAAAGAGTAATGGGGCTTTTTATGACATTTTGCCTTGGCAGTCCTGAATTCCTAGCTATGTTTTTGGGTTTAGAAACTACCGATTGATGTGAACAGGCTTTTAGGACAACAGTATATTATAACATTATGGAGCCCAATGGTAGATTCACCTATTTTTTGGGGTAAGATTCATCTTCTATATTAGTTTATTACAATTGGCTTGCTTTAAAATACTTTATTATTTTAAAATTTGTTAGTTGCTAATAAGAGAATTATGTTACTCCAAGCTACTGCCTATATCTCTTACATATATTTACAACATATTTTCATTTTAGTAAAGTTTTACTTACACTGATTTGATATACCATAGTATAAAAATTTCAAGTCTCATTTTATTTGTAAAATGTGAATATGAATTCAAAGACTTGAAAATTTTGCTAAGAATCATATATGTTTCAAAGCTGATGGGCTTAGTAAACTATAAACTGTGTTTATATTATTGCCACTTTGTGGGACCACTTTAGCTGGTAAACAAAAACACTGGCTATTCAGAAATATTCAAAAAATTTTGAAAATATTCAAAATTTTTGAAAATTCTAAAAAAGGAAACATTGGCTATTCAGCAATGTTCAGGAGCATCAAACTTCTGCCAGTGATTCCAGATTTTAATGATTATTTTGTCATTTACTATTATTATAAATGTAAAATCTTTCTTTTTTTTTTTGAGTCAAAGTCTCACTCTGTTGCCCAGGCTACAGTGCCGTGACGTCAGCCTCACTCACAGCAACCTCAAACTCCTGGGCTCAAGCAATCCTTAGGCCTCAGCCTCCCGAGTAGCTGGAACTACAGGCATGCGCCACCATGCCCGGCTAATTTTTTCCATAAATTTTTAGTTGGCCAATTAATTTCTTTCTGTTTTTAGTAGAGACGGGGTCTTGCTCTTTCTCAGGCTGGTTTTAAACTCCTACTTTGAGAGATCCTCCTGCCTTGGCCTCCCAGAGTGCTAGGATTACAGGCATGAGCTACTGTGCCCAGCCTAAAATCTTTCTTTTTTTTTTGAAGACAGCGTTCGCTTGTTGACCAGGCTAGAGTGAGTGCCGTGGCATCAGCCTAGCTCACAGCAACCTCAAACTCCTGGGCTCAAGCAATCCTTCTGCCTCAGCCTCCCGAGTAGCTGGGACTACAGGCATGCGCCACCATGCCGGCTAATTTTCTATAATATATTAGTTGGCCAATTAATTTCTTTCTATTTATAGTAGAGACGGGTCTGCTCTTGCTCAGGCTGGTTTTGAACTCCTGACCTCGAGCAATCCGCCCGCCTCAGCCTCCCAGAGTGCTAGGATTACAGGAGTGAGCCACCGCGCCCGGCTTAAAATCTTTCTTGATAATAACTCCTAATAGTATCATCAGTCATTAAATGGTGATGTTAATGCTCAAGTTAAAAAGATGTGGCCCTGAAGTAATAACTATAGGAGTTAAATATGATAAAACTCTCTGAAGAATGCAAAAAAAACTTCTAGGAAGGAGCAGTCAGCAAAATGTTAGAGATAACTGCTGAGAAAATAAAGAGCTGCATTAAAGCAAGAACATAGTACAATGATTACATAAACTTTAAGAATACCCCCAATACAAACAGACCCCTCCCTAATAACACAGAAACACTAATTCAAAATAGTCTTGAATAATGCAAGTTTTGAATTGTAAGAGATATCCAAGAATGCATCTGTGACCACTTTGAACTTACTACAAAACTTTTGGAAGCACTAGTGCTCTAGGCTGATACTTAGGTAAGGGGTGGCCAATGACTGGACCGAGGGCGAACATCTGAATCATGGGAAGCCAACCCATAGGCCATCTGCAGATCAGGAAGCAGTCTGGTACAAAAAGTATAAACAAGTTTTGCCCAATAGGAACAATGATAATTACCTAGGCTGGATTTTCCCTCTAGAAGTTGGAAGCAAAAGAAACTAGAAGGTACAAAAAGTAAAGTAGCAAGGGTTAGTCCAAGTAATGATGGAGTTGAAGAAAAAGGATCCACAAACTGCCATGGTGGGGGTAGTCAGATTGCCTGTCTCCAAAACTTCCTTGAATTCCAGAATACAAGTGCCACTTGGATTTCTGTGATATTTCTATTTCTTTAGTGCCACTCTGCATCCACTAATGAACCTTAGGACTTGCAATACTTTGAGAAAGGTACTGCCTAACACATATACTGTTTTTCTGAATTGGTAAAATTTTCCTAGCGAGGTAGTGCGTTCTCTATTCTTGCTTTCATCTATAGAAGGGCCTAGAAATGCTAAGAAAGATTCTTCCATAAAGTAGCTTCACATACCTGCATTTTTTTCTCTTGCTCATTTTCTCCAATCATTCCAGTACCTGTTACACTTTCACTTCCATCAATTGATACCTACAGGAATAAAATAAACCTTAAAAACATTTTACTTTTCTTTTTTGAGACAGAGTCTTGTTGTGTCACCCCAACTAGAGTGCAGTGGTGTCATCACAGCTCATTGCAACCTCAGATTCCTGGGCTCAAGTGATCCCCCTGCCTCAGCCTCCCAAGTAGCTGAGACTATAGGCACACACACACCACCATGCCTGGCTAATGTTTGTATTTTTGTAAAGATGGGATCTGGCTTGTTGCTCAGGCTGATCTTGAACTCTGACCTCAAGCAATCATCTTGCCTTGGCCTCCCAAACTGCTAGAACTACAGGCATGAGCCACCATGCCTGGCCTTTTTCACTTTTTCTAATCACTAATTTCTACTTCTTAATTCATAAGCAGTTGTCTCTATACTTTATTATTTCTTTAATGGCACTCATCCTTGTATATCTCTTTTTGTGAATTACCTGCCATCCATTTCTTTCTTTGTTTTTTTTTTTTTGAGACAGGGTTTTGCTCTGTTACCTTGGGAAGTAGAGTACAGTGGCATCATCATAGTTTACTGCAACCTCAGACTCCTGGGTTCAAGCGAGATCCTCCTACCTCAGCCTCCCAAGTAGCTGGGACTGTAAGTATGCACCACCGTGCCCAGCTAATTTTTTCTATTTTTGGTAGACACTGAGTCTTGCTCTTGCTCAGGGTAGTCTTGAACTCCTGACCTCAAGTGATCCTCCCGCCTTGGCCTCCCAGAGTGCTAGTATTACAGGCTTGCGCTACTGCACCCAGCCAATTTCTTTTCTATAAACCCTTGCCCTATTCTCTTATTTTTCTTCCAATACTTCTTTCTAAACTTCACTTTAAGATCAGTGTTGATCTCTTTGAAGCTGACTGATTTTGACTTTGAATTGGTAGTTCCTTGATGAAGCATTCTTTTTTGTTTTCTTTTCTTTTCATGAAAAATAAAGAACCAGTATCTGGGATGTTCTTGACATTGTAAAATAAATGCTGTACCTTTGCAGCATACTGTTCCAAAGCACTGATGGTGTCGGGGTCAATTGCGGCATCCCCAGTGTGCAGACCTGCCACTGTGCCATCAGCTTGAATTGCCAAGATGGTGTCAGACTGTGGGACTTGCACTGCATGATGGATATAAGCAGTGGTGCCATCTTCCAGCTGAACCGCCTGTAATGCACTCTGGTCATAACTATCTGAGGGAGTGGAAAAGAATGCCATTAAATTAAAGGTAAAGTCTAATAAACATTTATATGCTGAGAGGAAGAAGGAAATGAACTTCTACTGAGTAGTTATTATGAACACTGGACCATGTGTTTTTTTTTTTTTTTTTGAGACAGAGTCTCGCTTTGTTGCCCAGGCTAGAGTGAGTGCCATGGCGTCAGCCTAGCTCACAGCAACCTCAAACTCCTGGGCTCGAGTGATCCTCCTGCCTCAGCCTCCCGGGTAGCTGGGACTACAGGCATGCGCCACCATGCCCGGCTAATTTTTTATATATATCAGTTGGCCAATTAATTTCTTTCTATTTATAGTAGAGACGGGGTCTCGCTCTTGCTCAGGCTGGTTTTGAACTCCCGACCTTGAGCAATCCGCCCGCCTCGGCCTCCCAAGAGCTAGGATTACAGGCGTGAGCCACCGCGCCCGGCCTATGGACCATGTGTTTTATATGTGTTATTTAATTTAATCCTCACAATAATTCTGCAAGGCAGGTATAATTCACCACTCCCACTGCATCAATGGGAACTTAAGGTTTGGGAAAGTAAAGTCACTTTCCTTAGAAACCAGGAAATCAAAAAATACTAACAACAGTCAAAATTAGTATGTAGAGAAATCAGGATGTGAGCTCATGTTAGTATGACTCCAAAGTCCATGTTGTTTTTATTATTATATAATACTATATATATCAAGATATATATATAGCACTGTAAAATAACAAATCTAGCCAATGACAATGAACCTGTGATTAACTCTCATCGCTAAAGAAAAAAGTTGAGTTTACCTTTTCTCAACTTTAATTAAACAAATTTATTTACAAATTTAAGTACTCTAAATTTTAAAAAGATTTTCTCCTTTGGTTTCACAACTAAACAGTCTTTTGAAAACATGTTATGTCACTCTATAATAAAATATTTTATAAAGTACTAACATTTATTGAGCATTTATGATGTAATAAGCACTGTTTTAAGTGATTTTCATATGTTTGCCCATTCTGTCGTCACAACAATCCTACGATGTGGATACTTATCCTCATTCTATGGATGACAAAACTAAAGCACAGGGAAGTTAAGCAATCTCATAATATCACACAGCTAAAAAAAACAGCAGCTTTGAGCCTAGATTTGAATCCAGACAGTCTGGCTGCAAAGCTGTGCTCATCACTCTTACACATTCTATCTCAAGCCCTGGTTCTCCCTATACAAAGTTAATAAACATTAACATTTTGCCATATTTGTATCAGGTATTTTTTAAATTTTTATTTAATTCTAATTAAAGACAAACACAATAGGCAAAGGACCTTGTTTAAAAAATTACATTTAAGAGGAAGAAATAAAATCAACAATTTAACTTTCAAATATTTTAGAAGTAACCTCTATTTGAAGTCTTCTAGGGGTAAAGGGTATGCTGTTTCAACCTATTGCTGGACAGCTCAAATTATTAGAAAGTTTTTCCTTAAACTGTACCCAAGTCTGCTGCCTTGTACTTCAACAAACAAACACAATTCTTCTTTCCCATGACGACATTTCAGCAGCTAAACACAGGTCTTTTTTCCCCTCATACCCCTACTTCTCTCTTATTTTATTTGTATTTTCAAAGCTATTTTACCTTTGGAGGTATGATGAATAAACGCTGTGGTTCCATCTTCTAACTGCACTGCTTGACCATCTTCTAGACGTAAACTGTCCCCTGCTCAAGAACAATGCTTACATTTAGATCCCATGTTGTCCAATGTGTTCTGTTTAACTCACTTAGGAACAATAGGGTCAATAAAACATTAACACAATGTAACAACCTACACTTGCTTTAAGAGTTTTTTGAACATTTAAGTAATTTCAGTAAAACTTCTCTGAGTGTTAAAAGGTAAAAAGATATTAGAATATTTGTTTTAGGAATATATATTAGGAAATGAAGAGAGCTGAAAGAAAGAGAAAAGAGAAGAAAATGAGAGACATATAGGATTCAGCTCAAATAACAGAAATATTCACTTAGGACTGTTGCCCATTTATCTCCAAAGTACAGTCCAGGATTCTTTCCCATTATCTTTGACAGAAAGTCTTGGTTAAGTTAAAATAATCTTTAGATCTTCTCTGTGGCATTGACTGATCTCCGTTTTCAGAAGAAAAGGGATCAGGACCAAGTTTAAGTAGTTAGAGTGAGCTGGGGGCAGCAAATACTAAAGTCTGAGAATCTGGAGTGCTTCCTTTGCTGTATCTTAAATACTTACTACTTTTAGGTATGGGTACATGTTGAACATAGGCAGCAGAACCATCTTCCAACTGAATGACCTGGCCATCTATTAGTTTTCCATCTGGAACAAGAGATTCAAGCCAATAAATTAGCACAAACAAAAGTTTTAAACTTTATACAATTTCAAAATGATATCAACTATAAAAACATACACTACTTAAGCTCATGTTCATCTTGATTCTTCCCTCAATGTTCTGAGGCAATTCAATAACACATCCAGTGATCCTACAGAAAGCAGAAAATCCTCCCTCAGCCATCCTTCCTCCCCTCCAATTTTCAATTAGACGAGTTCAGGAGGAAGAGTGGCTCATCACAGCAGGCTACATGAGTTGAACCTCTATATACCTTGCAGAGTTATTTAGAATCAGTGACCCTGACCATGGGGAAGCTGAAGCTGGGAAGATAGGTAAGTCAGTGCATGTGAGGCCAGTTGTCATTTTCACTCCTGGGGGCTACAAGACCCTTGTTTATATATACATGTGTTCAGTACTAATTTTTATGTGTTCCATAAAAACAAGGAGTTTGAGAACCAGGCTATTTCCTGGAGCAAAATAAACACCAATTCAGAGACAATGTTTTTAATATATAAGCAAAACCAAATGTCTTTACTCTTATGCATATTTGGTAAAAACATTAAATAATAATGAAGTAAAAAAAGCAAGAAAGGTCTTGTTAGAAATAGGTCAGAGACACTCCCTGCTCCCCTACTAATTTTGATATTCTAAATATCTCAAAAGGTAACCCCAAATTATCAAAAGAAATTTAAGTTAAATTGAAATAATTTTAAATTATCATATGCAACACAGCATCTTTAGGAGAGATTGGGGAGGAAAGATAGCTAATGGGTGCTCCAACTCTGAGGTTATGAATTGCTGGTATTAACTAATCAGCCATATGTGAGGCACATACCTTTAGAATTGTGTTGTATATAAGCGGTAGAACCATCTGCAAGTGTTACTGCTTGCAAGCTTACGCCTTCCATATTTTCTAAATTGTCACCATCTATTATAAAAGAATAATTATTTTCTTTAGATAACTACTGTACATGCACACTGATTAAATTATTATTATTTTTTAAAGGAAATGAAGATTAGGCAAAAGGCAGGTTGCTTAACTTAGACTCAAATCAGATTTCTTTCAGAATTTACAAAAAAATTTTCCCTGCCTTACTGTACCCAGCATCCATACCAAGGTAAAAAGGCTTAGGTTTGTGTTGCCCTCTGCTAAATTAGGAACTGGGAAGTAAACATAGTGTTGTAAATTTTAATTTTCCCTTAAAATAAATGATATTTCCAAACCTCCATAGTCCCCTTCAAACATTACTGCTCACCTGCCACAGTTACTGCCTCTGTCAGACATAGGGTAACATGTTGAGCCTCCATTCCTCCTCCAGGAAACTCTGTCATTCCCTGAGAATCTCGATTTATTTGGGCTAACAACATCTTCTACCTTGAAGAAAATATAGGCACTTGAGAACAAAGAATAATGCATATGGAAAAAAGCTACAAAGAATATTTATGAACTACAAAAAATTGCTAATGATGTAAATAGTGTTGGAACTAAGATGAAATTTCACTTAATATTCAAGGTAAGAGTATTAGCCCAAAGTCCAAGGCAAATCCTCATAATTCAACAGTAAATTACTGAGCACATTGACAAGTCTTGCCCATCAGTTTCATATCATGTCTAAAATTCCCATAATTAGAGTCCGTTGGGTTGAACATCATTGAAGATTCCCACTCATCCAATCCATCAGCAAATGCTATTGACTCGATCTTCAGAAATCTATCTTGAATACAGCTACATCTCACACTAACCAATCTTTCTTCTGTGTTACTTCAATAGCATTCTAACTTGTCTCCCTGCTTTTGTGTTAGCCTCTCTACACTCTTCTCTCAATACAGTGGTCAGTGCCCTTTGAAGGGAAAAGTTATAGCTCAAGTCCCTCTCCTGCTCAAAATCCTCTTATAATTTCTCATCAAAGTAAAATCCCAAAGTCCTTACACTGGCCTATCAGGCCAATGATCTTGCCCATTTCCTCTCATTCATTTCACTTCAGCCACACTGGCATCCTTGCTTCTCCTCAAATACATGAGTGTTTGGCTGCCTCAGGACATTTACACTTGATATTCCTTCTGCCTGAAACATTTCCCCCAATATCTTCATTGTTCATTCCTTCACCTCTTTAAGTCTTTGCGCAAATGACCTCAACGAGAGCTCCCCTGTCCACCCCGTTTCAAACTGCACCTCCCAACTGCCCAATCATTGTGTACCCTAGCCTTCTTTCCTCCTCTATGTTTCTGCATAGTGCTTCTTACTTAACATATTACATGTGTTTACTTATTCTGTTTATTACCTAGTTCCTCTTCCCCTAGAATGAACAAAGACTTTTATCTGTTTATTCATTGCTGACTCAAGTGCCTAAAAGTGTTTGGCACATAGTAGGCACACAATATGTATTAGATAAATGGATGAATGGATAACCCTTTTACAAAACACCATCACAACTCCCTTCTTCCTTTCTACCTCCAGACCTCATTATCTCTGTGGGCCTTGAGTTATCTCAAACAGTTGGGATAATTTAGCTGCCCTGAGCCAGGGAATTGGACCAGAAGATCTCTTGAGGGCTTTTCCAGTTCTCAAGATCTGATTTTAGTGTCAATATTTGAAAGATTCTGACTTCATTTCCTCTTAAAGAAAAAAGAAAAAAAAAAAATATTTGAAAGAGCAACATGTAGATAGTAATAATTTGTAATTCTATTTATGTTTAGAGTTGCTTGAAGAATTTTGTTTTAGAAACACTATAAATTGTATGCACATGTACACTCTTTGGACCAAAGGTGGGGACTACGGATCAGATTCACACAAAAGTATCAGTGTTATGATAAAAGCCAGTCAGGTATAAAAGGATCCATAATCTATAACTGCTCATAGAACAAGCTGAAACTTCAACACTTCCTTGACCTCCAAGGGCTAGTAGAGAAACCTCAAAGTAATACTAGTACACTTCTGTTAAGACTCCTGATGAATATAAGGTTGGGATAGGCTAATTTTTAGTCACAAAGAGACAAATACTACATGATTCCACTTATATGATGTATCTAAAGAAGCCAGACTGTTAGAAACAGAAAGGAAAGTGGTATTGGAGGGAGGGAGCATAGGGGAGAGCTACTCAATGGGTATGGTTTCAGTCATGCAAGATGAAAAACTTTAAGAGAACTGCTGCAGAACAATGTGTATATAGTTAACATTACTATACTGTATACTTAAAAATGGTTTAGATGGTAAATCTTATATATTTTTTCATCACAATTAAGAAAAATCTAAACACATAACCAAATGTTAGGATCTAGGCTGTGCACAGTAGCCTGTAATCCTAACACTCTGGGAGGCCGAGGTGGGAGGATCGCTCAAGGTCAGGAGTAGAAAGCAGCCTGAGCAAGAGTGAGATCCGTCTATACTAAAAATAAAAAGAAATTAATTGGCAAACTAAAAATATATAGAAAAAATTAGCTGGGCATGGCAGTGCGTGCCTGTAGTCCCAGCTACTCAGGAGGCTGAGGCAGAAAGACTGCTTGAGCCCAAGAGTTTGAGGTTGCTGTGAGGATAGGCTGACACCACAGTACTGTAGCCTGGGCAACAGAGTGAGACTCTGTCTTAAAAAAATAAAATAAAATAAATAAATAAAAACAAAAAATGTTAGGATCTGTTAAAGTTGAATTGGTAAGTGTTTATTCAAGTATTTATATTCCTGTGTGATAGATTTCATAATTTAAAGAGTGAAAAATACCCAAAATTACTGGTAAGAAGAAAAAGAACATCTGAAAACTGATGGTTAAAATTAGTAACTATCAGATTTTATCTCTTCATCTCTTAAAAAAAATGTGAAGTGTTTCTTTATTGGTTTGAAGAAACTACTTCTGGTATACTCCAACTTCTAAGTGGCTTCATAAATTCAGATTTTTAAATGTAAAGCCATCAGGCTCGGCGGCTCATGCCCGTAATCCTAGCACTTTGGGAGGCCAAGGCAGGAGGATTACTTGAGGACAGGAGTTAAAGACTAGTCTGAGCAATATAATGAGACCATCATCTCTAAACGTGAAGGCATTAGACATTTTTTTTTTTTTTTTTTGAGACAGTCTCGCTTTGTTGCCCAGGTTAGAGTGAGTGCCGTGGCATCAGCCTAACTCACAGCAACCTCAAACTCCTGGACTTAAGCAATCCTACTGCCTCAGCCTCCCAAGTAGCTGGGACTACAGGCATGCACCACCATGCCTGGCTAATTTTTTCTATATATATTAGTTGGCCCATTAATTTCTTTCTATTTATAGTAAAGACGGGTCTCGCTCTTGCTCAGGGTGGTTTTGAACTCCTGACCTGGAGCAATCTGCCCGCCTCGGCCTCCCAGAGTGCTAGGATTACAGGCGTGACCCACTGTGCTCAGCCATAGACATTTAAAGTTTGATCTACCTTGTTAGCAACAATTATTACAAAAAAGTGGCTGGGCGCAGTGGCTGTAATCCTAGCACTCTGGGAGGCTGAGGCAGGAGGCTCACTTGAGCTCAGAGTTCTAGACCAGCCTGAGCAAGAGTGAGATCCTGTCTCTAATGAAAGTAGAAACAATTAGCCAGGTGTAGTGGTGGGTACGTTATAGTCCCAGCTACTTGGGAGGCTGAGGCAGAAGGATCACTTGAGCCAGGAGTTTGAGGTTGCAGTGAGCTACGATGACACCACTGCACTCTAGCCTGGGCAACAGAGCAAGACTCTCTCAAAAAAAAAAAAAAAATTATTACAAAAATGTATTATGACAACATAAATCTAATGGTCCAGATATAAAAGCAAGAAATCCAATTGCAAATAATCTTTTTTTGTGATAATGATTTTTTAAATCTAGATTAACAAATTTTACATGTCTTTTTTGCATGAAGGCACATAAACCAGGCCTTCAGAAATTGTCGGGCTCAGGTCCTAACCTCAGGCAGGTTTCATCTAAACATTTAACAGAAAAGATAGGTCTTTTTATTACTGGCTCTCAATTCTAAATTTTCCTTATAAATTTGCTTTGTATTAGAAAAAGTTCTCCATTTTAACCTGGTCATTCATACTACTTTGATTAGCGTTGGCAGAAAGCTATCTTTCAAAACTCTTTGAGTTTTGTAAAGCTTTGTGTTTGGCAAAAAAAGGAAAAAAAAAAAAGCACAGCCAGGGACTAAACATCTTCCATTGATTAAATGAAATTCACTTAAGTACAGAGTAGTTCGAATGTGCTGGCAAATGAGGCAGAGTTTTCACAGACTCCAAAGGATGCTAAAAGGTAAAGTGTGGGGCAAGAATTCATAATACCAATTTTAATGAGGACAGTAGAATTTTCTCTCGGATGGGTGAAATGTTGAAGCTTGAACGCTTTGTCCAGTTGCAGGACAATTCAGAAACTTAATATCTGAAAATGACTGGCAGGTAGGTCGAGCCTGACACCTTTGAAATGGCAGTTGAGATATGGCCTACTGTGGCTAAAGTTAAAAATAGCAGAGACAAGCATTTAGAAATGAACATCTAGGTTTAGTCACTGGGAATGTCCATTTTGGTGACGGTTTGATCTTAACTAAACCAATGATATGAAAAAGAACTAAAAAAAAAAAATCTTGCCAGGCGAGGTGACTCACGCCTATAATCCTAGCACTCTGGGAGGCTGAGGCTGGTGGATCGCTAAAGGTCAGGAGTTCGAAACCAGACTGAGTAAGAGTGAGACCCCCGTCTCTACTAAAAAAATATAAAGAAATTAATTGGCCAACTAAAAATATATATAGAAAAAAATTAGCCGGGCATGGTGGTGCGAGCCTATAGTCCCAGCTACCTGTGGTTGAGGTAGGAGGATTGCTTCAGCCTAGGAGTTTGAGGTTGCTGTGAGCTAGGGTGATGATGCCACGGCACTCTAGCCCAGGCAACAGAGTGAGACTCTGTCTCAAAAAAAAAAAACCAAAAAAAAAACCTCTTAAACCTCAATAAAGTAGCATTAACAATATGACCCTTGCAGTGCCAAAAATAAAACAAAAAACAAAAAACCTGGTCATTTGTACTTTGTGCGGTTTAGGAGCTCAAGCCTGGGACAATGGTGTGCATTCCTTGTATTGCCATTCCAGTTCTGCTCTGGGTCTACAAAAAATTCCTGAAGCTGTACATATACCCTCTGATTACCCCTTCTGTTAGTCGTATAAGGCCTGGAAAAGCTGTACAAGAATCCAATGATAAAAATAAAGGCAAAGTAGAATGTAAGGGTAGAGACATAAATGGAATACCAACAAGAGGACCAAAAGAAATCTCTGATAAAAAGAAAGACTAAAGCAATTTCCCCAAAAAATCTTGTTTTAAAAATGGACCTGAGCTGGGCGAGGTGGCTCACGCCTTTAATCCTAGCTCTCTGGGAGGCCGAGGCGGGTGGATTGCTCAAG